ACCGCTGACAAAATGACAAGCCTAATATGGTTTATATGACTATAAAAGCTCAGTGAGGGAATTCATACAGTCTCTTTCTCTTGCCTAGAAGAGTACATAAGGCATATGGTCTCCTAAAGACCCAAAGTTTTGCCCCCAAAGTAAAGTCAAACATTCAAGTAAAGGAGAGGAGATATGGGTTGAGGCTTTAATTTATATATACACCAATGAGGTTACCAACCCAAGGGGCTCGTATATACCTGGAGGAGGTCCAATGGTGAGAGTGGAGTTATTCTGGGAAGAGGGCATGCTGGTGACATTGCTGTTAGAGTCAGCCTATTTATTCTGTAGCAGATATCGTCGTCGTTGGTTTAGACTGAATTACATCATTCAGACGAAACTTACAAAGATCTTAAAAATACCTTGGGGCTGCACAAAGATTGAGAATCCTGGCTGTTTACAAAGTGTTCCCAAGATTAAAGTTTTATCTTTGTGGAAATCCCCTGATATTCTAGTAGTCAGGTGGAATCTTATGGGAAAGCAAGCACCCAAGGGGAGATGGAGACTGCAGCTTGAAGCCCAGGACCCATTATAACTGCAGCTCCAAACATACTGGCAAGCCTGCCAACATTCTTGGGACGGCTAGAACAGCTTAGGGAGACTGTTCAGGAACTGTAATTATCAAGGCTATTTCAGGAAGGCAGGGCGCGGTGGCTCATCTCTATAATCCCAGCATTTTGGGAGGCGGGGGTGAGTGAATTGCTTGAGCTCAGAAGTTTGAGACCAGCTTAGGCAACAAGGCAAGACCCTGGCAAAACAAATAGCCAGGCTTAGTGGTCTCAGCTACTCAGGAGGCTGAGCTGGGAGGATCCTTTGAGCCTGGGATTGTAGGTTTTGTTGAGCTGAGATCATGCCACTGCACTCCAGCCTGGGTGACAGAGCCAGAGACCCCGTCTCAACAACAACAACAACAAAATTCAGGAAAGATAAGATGGCCCATTTTAAAGAAGGAGAGCGTTACGCAGACCTGTACCTGTGCCTCAGCGGCTGCAGAGAGTCTGCCGTCCTCTTCACCCTCTCCATTCTGGCCTGCTTGGACTATATCAGCTTGCAGATGCTGGAGGGGCCAGAGGGACCGAGGTGAGGACAGGAACAGAGCAAATTACCTGACCCGCCAGGGACCTGTGCTCGAGACTTGATCCCAGAGCTGTGTTCATCCTGATCACCTTTCAGGGCCTGCCTGCAGAGAATAACATCTCTCAGTTTAGACACAGGTGGTGAGCCTGTAGAATGCAGGAGCTATTGAGAGGTTGATGGAGCTTTATTTTTCTTATAAAGGGAGCACTCACTGGCTACATCCACAGTAGAGGGGTCTTGTGCATCAGACAGGAAGGCATTGCTGCTGGGAAGCTGGCGGGAGTCATGGCGGCTGGAATGAGTCAAATACTGTTCATCTAGTGAGTCCTCCAGGACTTCGTTCATTTCTTCCTCCTGGACCTGCCTCCTGAGCCTGGTGGAGCAGGCAAGATGAGGGATTAAACCAAGGCAGCCTGGAGCCACAGCTTCTTAGCTAGTTCTGATCTGAAGCTCATGGAAGAGGCACCAAAAACCAAAGGGACCATCCTATCAAACAGGAAGTGTAAATCCACTTTGACTGGGAGTCTAGTGTGCCTAGACTTAGTACAGAAGTGAGATCAGCAAGTGATCAGTGCATTGACCTCATAGCACATAGATATGCAGCAGACTCAACCACTACTCCACAATACACTCAGGGCACAGAGGACACACAGAGACCCACACTATTGGCTTCAAAATGCTGCATTCAAATTTTATTTAACACTATGTGGAGTGGTCCATTGAATACTGGCTCTGGAGACAACGTAACCTCCCAGGCTTTGGCAGATTTTAGACCCCTAGCTTTAAATACTTGGTATGGTGTCAATTTACTTTTCAGGATAATTTTCTGGCTATAAAATATCTGCCAGTATAATTCAGGATGACTGTGCAGAAGGCAAATAGGAATCTCACTTTGGTTTTAACCATATGGGTTTTAAAGATACAGAAACCGGGGATCAGTTGTTAGTTTACTTTTCGATAAGATTGACTAGTTAACTAAATGTGAGAAATGACTAGAAAATAGGAACCAATACAACAGTTGCAAAGAGAACAGAGAACTATTTTTAAAAGGACACATTGTATAATCAATGGACAAAATAGGGGCAATCAGCAGTTTCTGCTTCTTCTGGATTTTTCTAGATCTGGGACCTTTAACCTCTTGAACCCTGGAATCGTCTCTGGATTTGGTTAGTCCATTATCAGCCCTTCATCATCTCAAGTTACCTGGGAGCCAGTAGTTTTTGCCTGTCTTCGTCTTGCTTATCTTTGTGATTTTCTGCAAACCAAAATTAGAAAGCGCCAGTCAGAAGTTAAGCAGGTCTCATTACGATCAGGGACATAACACTTCACACGTGTTCAGAATACCCTGCAAGAATTATTGCAGGAGGCCTCAGGTTGTTTCTTTAGCAACGTGGCCTGGCAGGCTTGCCTGAGCCCACTGGACAGGGTGTCCCTGATGTGGTGAATCATCACCATGACATCAGCTGCCTGAAGCAGAGCAAAAAGTTTAAAATGTCTCTTGTTCCCCAGCTCAAAGAATACTTCCCGGCTGCCCTTTGGACTCTCCAGTTGTAACCTTTCTCCCTGCCACAGACTGTCAGACCATGACTGTCCCATTGCTACTCTCACACAGAACCTACTCCAGTCTCTGAGGGGACAAATACCCTGTCCCACCTCTACTCCAAACCAGAGGACTGCCGGGGCGCCTTCAAGTCTGTCCCTGTTGTGCTTCCTCAGATGTTCTTGGGAGTAATACTTTTTTTTTTTTTTTTTTTTTTGTTAGAATTGGGGATAATTCTATGAAAAATATTCTAGAATAAATCAAATTTTCCAATACCAGTTTCTACTATGTCCAGTGCCTAAAGTAACCCCAAAAGATCTGGACAGTTTATTGGGACTGGAAAATAGATAAATAAATTGCCCCGAAAGAGACATACACTTATGAACGTTAGGATACTACTTCAACTGATCTTTTCAGCAGCTGTGGAATGATGATTTGACCCACTTTACAAAGGAGGAAACAGAAATTCAAGAAGGATCAATCACTTGCACAAAGTTAGTACACACAGTGCTGAGACTAGAGCCCAGGTAATTCTGATTCTTAGCCCAGGGATCTTCCATTCTGTCAAGCTGCCTTCTGTCATACTCTTCCTTCTGACCACAAGGATTGAATGGAGACTTCTGCTTCTGGCCAACTTGGAGTCATAGGGACCAGATTTGTCCTCCACCTTAAGCAACTGGAAAACTGGAAAAACCATTTTCAACTCTAGCTTCGGCATTGGATATGGTGCAGTACAGTACGGTGATCCCTGGGAGAGAGGAAATAAAAGAGGTGAGCCCTAAGATTACTCCGGTCTACCGCCTGAGATTTTGAACTGCAGAGCACGGAGGAAGGAGCCAGGCAGAGCCTGTAGTAAGTTTGAAGAAGTCAGCATGGTGACATCACAGGACAGACTAGAGAGTCAATTGCTGTACAGAGAGAATGCCTTGGATACCTGTCTTCAATCTGCAGCTAAGTGCTGATTAGTACATGTACTTGAGGAAAAGATGCGAAGCAGGGAAAAGAACTTCTCAAAAGGAATCGTCCCTGTAACTCACACAGAGCTTGCAGCACTTGGTGTTTCCATCAGCTAAAGTATAAAACCCTTTTATTTTTATTTTTTTGAATCTTTTATAGCTTTCATTTCAGTGATCAAAAGAATGCAGTAGGCCGGGCGCAGTGGCTCACAACTGTAATCCTAACACTTTGGGAGGCCAAGGTGGGTGGATCACCTGTCAGGAGTTCAAGACCAGCCTGGCCATCATGGTGAAACCCATCTTTAA